GCTCCAGCCGCAAGGCCTGCAGTCGCCGCACCAGCTGCAGCAAGGCAGCCCCCAGTTCCCCCAGACCAGCTGCCCGTGCCCCTTCTTCATCCAGGACCAGGTCCTCCGCGAAGGCCAGCTCATCCTGCAGTGGCAGTGAGCGCTGGGCCACACCCAGCACCAGTACCTCCATCCATACGCTCTGCAGTACTGACATCTGGTCAGACAGTGACAGCGAGGAGAAGCCTGCAGGGCAGTGGGAAGCAGGCCCGGCTGAGCACATGTGATACAGCCAGCAGTGGCTGGCCAACTCAGGGGAGCCCTGGGTTACCCTTACCTGGGATGCTCTTGGCCCAGCTGATGGTGACCACAATCTCTCGGTCAAAGAGGTCACAGAGGGTAGCCACGGCTGGGAGGTGTCCGTCAGGGCCTGCCGGGTCAGGCATGGCATACAGCTTCTCAGGCTCAACCACCAGCAGGTGAGATACCAGTGCATTCACAGGGGCTGCAGTGACAGGTGGAGGGCTGGGGTCACGTGTACTCCGCTCATCAGGCCCGGTGGGCCCTAGGGGGTCGAGTGCCTCCCCAGAGTCGGTCCCTGGGACCTGCCTCAATAGCAGGTGGCTAGCCAGGCAGCCACATCTCTTCAGCGAAGGGCTATATCACCCATGGGAAAGCCAGTCTGGAAAGGCTGCGTGATAGAAAACGTTTCCCTGTTCGCAGCTATACTAGGTGGTGCCTAACAGCAAAGGGCATTTTCACAAATATTTCCTGGGGAAAATGACTAGATGATGAGGAAACTGGGGGGTCCAACACCCAAAGTAACAACTATACTGCCACCGAAGGCCTCCCACGTCCTGGCCCCAGCCCAGCCCAAGGGCACCAGGGACACCCTATGTTCTCACCTGTCTTCCGGGGACCTCCAGCTACTGCCAGGGGGCCGGCAGGGAAAGGGCCTGGGAAGGGCAGTGGGTCCACCTCTGGTCGCCGTTTATACTTCTGTCGCCCACCCCGGACACGATCCAGGCGCACCCCTTAAATTTAAGACAGAACTGTGTTTATGGGGCTGGTAGTGGCTTTGCTCCTCAGAGCTGTCCTCCCTCATCCATTCACCTAAACTTCCCAGGCCTTGCCCCACCCCTCCACATGCACCCAGCTCCGCCAGCTCTTGCCCAGGCCCCTGCCCAGTGCTCACCCTCCTTGAGCATGCCCACCCGCAGGCACTTGGTGAAGCGACAGGCCTGGCAGGCTTTGCGTCTCCGCTTGGTGATCTCGCACTCATTGGAGGCCGGACAGCTGTATTCGATGCTCCCTGGCAGGAAGAGGCAGGGCTCCAGTGGCCGCCTCCCAGGGCCCGGAGAGGGCCCAGCTGACAGGAGAGCCCTGACTCGCCCCGGGCAAGCACAGGTCTGGGGGTATGGGGAGGAAAGGGAGAGCAGGATGCCATGAGCGGGGCAGGGAGGAAGCAGCTGCTGGACAGGAACCCTGACTGGACAATCTCTGTCCCAAGCCTCTAGCTAAGCCATGTCTTGGAGCCACACTGCCCTCATCCAGGGACTGCAGTGACCTGTCCATTGCTAAGTCCAGTGGTCAATTCTCAGTCTTCATCCTACTTGGCCTAAAAGGAGCATCTTCCACCAAACACTTCCTACAACTAGAAACACCTAGACACTTTCTTCTTTTCCTCCCACCTCACTGGCCACTTTATGGCTCCTACGCATCTCTCTCTCTCGAGCTCCTTCCATTGAAGAAGCCTCGAGCTATCCTTGAACATCATCTCTATTTACTCACTCCCACGGTGGTTGGACCCAGACCCAGGGCTTTCAAATGTGTAGCTCTAGCCCAGACCCACCCCAAACCCTAAACTCATACTACAGCTGCCTCCTTGACAGACATCTGCCATGCCCACAGGCATCTCAACTTAAGGTATCCTACACAGAATTGATCAACGCTTCCGAAGCCTACAACTCCATCTGTCCAGTTGTCCGAAACCACGGGATCACCTTTGATTCTGCTCACAATCCACATCCAGTCCACTGACAAAGCCTGCTGGGCTTAACCGCCTCATCCTTCCAGGACCCAACTCCTGCCCCAGGCAAGTAATTCCATCCTCAGCCAGAGTCTCTGTCACCTCACCTCACTGGCCTCTTACTCTGTCCCTGACTCTTTCAATCTATTCTCAACATAGCAGCCAGTGAGATCCTATTGAAACTACACCACAGGGGCTAGCAGGCAACATGGCGAAGGCACTGGACTCCCACTGGGCCAACTGTGGTTTGAGTCACAAACCTGGTGGCTTGCTTTCTCACTTTCCCTTTTTCTGTTTCTCTCTCTCTCTGGTCAAATTAAAAAATAAATAGTAATGAATAAAATAAAATAAATAATTTTTAAAAAACTACACCACAGCACAGCCTCTGTGGCACAGCTGGTAGTGAAATGAACTGCAATGCTAGAAGCCACATGGCCAGCTATGGGTTCAGATCCCCAGCCACCAGGCACATGCCTGAGTGCCCAAGAGCCTGCCTAGCTGGAGAGCTAGAAGGGGATCACGGCATGACCAGATCTTGCTGAGGACGCTCCTCTCCCTTCCTGCGTCCCTTCCTCTCTCCCTCTCATCCATGTGTGTGTGCTAATGCACCTACCCTACCATCCTGCCCCTCCTCTGCTCAAAATCTTCCAATGATTTCCCTTCTCAAAGTATAAGCCAAAGTGAGTCCAAGGCCTTCAAGACCTACAACCCTGCTCCCTGGACCTTCTCCTGCTCCTCAAACAGGCTGTGCCTCAGAGTGGCCACCTGTTCCTAGCCTGGAACTCTGTTCTCTTACCTCCTTTAGATCTCTCCTCACTGTCAGTTGGGGAGGCTTCCTTGGGACTCTACGACAATGTGAAACTCCTCTCTGCAGGTCCCTCCTGACCTCTGAGCCCTATCTTGTAGATTCTCTTAGCACCATTTAATAGGCCACTTATGTACTTTTCTTTTTATAGACAGATAAAACTCTCTACTTCTGTGTCAGCTTCACTAGGCCCAGAACTTAGTAACAGGCCCGGATATTGGTAACAGAGTGCTGGTGGCCCTCCCAGCTTCATGGGGCTACCACAAGGACTGAATGACACAACCAGCCCACAAGCCACTAGCACGTTTATCCTTAAAAGTACGCTCCTCAGGCTTCTGCACTCAACTCAAGACACCTCTCCTCAGGGAAGCCGTCCAGAACATCAGACCCAGCCCAGTCTCTGGCACATGCCCTCTCCTTGTCTCCCAGCACGTACCACAGCAGGGATAGGACAATGCTGTGTAATTCATTATATTCCTCTCTCCCCCCCTAGCTAGAAGGTATACTGCCTGAGGGCAGGAGTGGTCCTGCCCCCCCCCCCCTCTCTGGCCACTTTATGGCTCCTACGCATCTCTCTCTCTCGAGCTCCTTCCATTGAAGAAGCCTCGAGCTATCCTTGAACATCATCTCTATTTACTCACTCCCACGGTGGTTGGACCCAGACCCAGGGCTTTCAAATGTGTAGCTCTAGCCCAGACCCACCCCAAACCCTAAACTCATACTACAGCTGCCTCCTTGACAGACATCTGCCATGCCCACAGGCATCTCAACTTAAGGTATCCTACACAGAATTGATCAACGCTTCCGAAGCCTACAACTCCATCTGTCCAGTTGTCCGAAACCACGGGATCACCTTTGATTCTGCTCACAATCCACATCCAGTCCACTGACAAAGCCTGCTGGGCTTAACCGCCTCATCCTTCCAGGACCCAACTCCTGCCCCAGGCAAGTAATTCCATCCTCAGCCAGAGTCTCTGTCACCTCACCTCACTGGCCTCTTACTCTGTCCCTGACTCTTTCAATCTATTCTCAACATAGCAGCCAGTGAGATCCTATTGAAACTACACCACAGGGGCTAGCAGGCAACATGGCGAAGGCACTGGACTCCCACTGGGCCAACTGTGGTTTGAGTCACAAACCTGGTGGCTTGCTTTCTCACTTTCCCTTTTTCTGTTTCTCTCTCTCTCTGGTCAAATTAAAAAATAAATAGTAATGAATAAAATAAAATAAATAATTTTTAAAAAACTACACCACAGCACAGCCTCTGTGGCACAGCTGGTAGTGAAATGAACTGCAATGCTAGAAGCCACATGGCCAGCTATGGGTTCAGATCCCCAGCCACCAGGCACATGCCTGAGTGCCCAAGAGCCTGCCTAGCTGGAGAGCTAGAAGGGGATCACGGCATGACCAGATCTTGCTGAGGACGCTCCTCTCCCTTCCTGCGTCCCTTCCTCTCTCCCTCTCATCCATGTGTGTGTGCTAATGCACCTACCCTACCATCCTGCCCCTCCTCTGCTCAAAATCTTCCAATGATTTCCCTTCTCAAAGTATAAGCCAAAGTGAGTCCAAGGCCTTCAAGACCTACAACCCTGCTCCCTGGACCTTCTCCTGCTCCTCAAACAGGCTGTGCCTCAGAGTGGCCACCTGTTCCTAGCCTGGAACTCTGTTCTCTTACCTCCTTTAGATCTCTCCTCACTGTCAGTTGGGGAGGCTTCCTTGGGACTCTACGACAATGTGAAACTCCTCTCTGCAGGTCCCTCCTGACCTCTGAGCCCTATCTTGTAGATTCTCTTAGCACCATTTAATAGGCCACTTATGTACTTTTCTTTTTATAGACAGATAAAACTCTCTACTTCTGTGTCAGCTTCACTAGGCCCAGAACTTAGTAACAGGCCCGGATATTGGTAACAGAGTGCTGGTGGCCCTCCCAGCTTCATGGGGCTACCACAAGGACTGAATGACACAACCAGCCAACAAGCCACTAGCACGTTTATCCTTAAAAGTACGCTCCTCAGGCTTCTGCACTCAACTCAAGACACCTCTCCTCAGGGAAGCCGTCCAGAACATCAGACCCAGCCCAGTCTCTGGCACATGCCCTCTCCTTGTCTCCCAGCACGTACCACAGCAGGGATAGGACAATGCTGTGTAATTCATTATATTCCTCTCTCCCCCCCTAGCTAGAAGGTATACTGCCTGAGGGCAGGAGTGGTCCTGCCACCATCCCAGCTGTGTCCTCAACCTCGAATGCTGGCTAGGGCAGCAAGGCACAGTTTGGGAAGAGCAAAGGGAGGTGGTGTCCGGATGGAGGCTGCCCAAGTCCATAATGACACTGCCACTTACTACCAACTGAGTGGCCCCTACCTAATCCCTGAGCCCTCAGTTTCCCAGCTATGAAACTAGGATGATAAAAAATGTACTTATTGGAACCAGAAGTTGGTGTAATGGCTGTGTCGCTGGACTCCCATGTAGTTGACTGTGGTTTGAGTCTCGGACCCAGTGGTTTAAACTCATGCCGGGCGTGTGTGCGTGCATGCCCAAGACCCCAAGAGGAGAATGGAGGAGAAGGGATTGCAGCGTGGCCATCCGCCCTGGGCGTGATTTCTTTTCTTTTCTTTTCTTTTCTTTTTTTTCTTTTGGAGAGGTTTTTGCTATAGGGCGCGTGCGCTCGCCAGACAGACAGAGAGACATAGAGACAGAAAGCGAGAAATCACCCCCCAGGGGGGATGGTCACGCCACAATCCCTTCTCCTCCATTCTCCTCTAGGGATCTTGGGCACACACGCACACGCGCCCGGTGTGAGTTTTAAGCCACTGGGTCCGGGACGCGAACCGCGGTCGACCACGTGGGAGTCCAGTGACACAGCCATTACGCTAACTGCTGGTTCCCTGATTTCTCACTTTCTGTCTCTCTGTCTCTCTCTGTCTTTTCAAGCAAGCGCATGAGCCCTATAGCAAAAACCTCTCAAAAAAAAAATGTACTTATTGCACAGGCAGGTTGTAAGAATTAAAGAGAATAATATAGGTAAGATGTTCAGCATGGTTCATAGCATGTAAGTGCTCAGTAAATGATTGCTATTGGGCCGGCAGGTGGCGTGGTGGTTGAGGGTGCTGGATTCCCACATGGCTGACCACGGTTCAAGTCCCGGACCTGGTGGCTTGCTTTCTCACTTTCCTTCTTTCTCTCTCTCTCACTCTGTCTCTCTCTGGACAAAATTAAAAAGAAAGAAAGAAAAAGAAATAAAGTTAAATATAGTAATTCTTTTTTAAAAAATGATTGCTATTTATAGCTGACCCTCAATAAATATTTGTCAGCAGTCAACAGAAAAAAGGGGTTCCAGGGTGGGTAGGAGACACCCGAACCTGTTGGCTTACTGGTTGGTAGAGCCAGAGAGCACAGAGGGTTTTTGGTCTGTGTTTTGGCCAAGCCAAAACTTGTTGGAATGTCACAATCAGTCATGAAGCATATGTCCAAAGTTCAGTTATTAGTAATAAGCAGAGCGAACAATCTAGCTTTTAAACTCAGCCCTGGCCATAAATCAAGTTCAAATCCTGGTTCTGCCATTTTCTAACTATAAGATTCAAAGCTGCAAAAACCTCTCTCAGCCTCAGTTAGAGTAGCTGACACCTTATAAGGTTGTTGTGGTGGGCTAGCTGAGATCATAAAGTAAGTACTCAATAAATTGTTTTTAAATTATATGTGTTACAGCCCCCAGATAACTAAAGCTCAGGTAAAACACAAATAACAAGCCCACCCAAGTAATGCTTAGCTCAGTACCCTGCTCACTCTCTCGAGGTTTTTTTTTTTTTTTTTTTTTTTTTTTTTTTTGGGTTTTTCTTAGCGGGCAGACGCCCGGAGGCCTTCCTACAGGGCATGCGCCAGAGAGACAGAGAGAGACAGAGAGACAGAAAGTGAGAAATCACCCCCAGGGGTGATGGCCACGCCGCAATCCCTCCTCCTCTATTCTCCCCTTGGGATCTTGGGCATGTACGCACACACGCCCGGTTTAAGTCACCAGGTCCAGGACTTTAACCGCGGTCGACTACATGAGAGTTCAGTGACATAGCCATTACGCTTACTGCTGGTCCCGCTCTCTCAAGTTTTGTTATGCTTTCCTGAGCAAGAAAAAAGTCAGTGACTTTTCAAAGCAGGAAAGCCAAATAGTCTTTTTAAAACTCGGTGCTAAAATTTGATGTTTTTACAGATAATCTGTAAAAAACTGCTTTGTGTTGGCACTGGTGCTGCTTTGGGGAAATGGAAAAAAGGGGGGCATATTCTGTGCTGGAGAGAAATCAGCCCCTGTCAGAAGCAAGAACAAAATTTAGGAACAGGCAGAGGCTGCCTTAGAATTCATCAGAGCTACTGATGAAAGCGCTGGGCCTACAGTACCCAGACACCCAGGAAGCAGCCTGAGTCCTCTCCCTAGCCCACTCCAACCCATCCACACATCCTGGTGGCTACATTAACTATAGGGAAAAGGTTCGAAAGCCTGGGAATACCCACTGTCAACTTTGAGCCCTGCCTTTGCAGTCTGGGGATCTTCTGCCATCCATCAGGGTACCAGTTGGGTGGAGTGGGGCTAGAGGGCAGAGGGCAAAGGGTACAGGAATGGGGTGGGGGCTCACCCTGGATGGTCCTCTTGAAGAAGGCTTTGCAGGCCTCACAGGACGCCACACCATAGTGGTAGCCGGAGGCCACATCTCCACAAACCAGGCAGAGGCGTTTGGGCAGGGAGCTGAGCACCAGCTTCCCACTTCCCTGCTCGCCAGGCCCAGCCCCCTCCCCATCCTCCTCTTCCTTGTGGCCTGGGAGGCAGCGGGTAGGAGCTGGACCAGGAGCCAGGGCCACAGGGGGCTCAGTCTCGGTCTCCGAGGAACCCTTTGGACTGTCGGGGCTGGCTGGCTCTGCCTTGATGTAGAGAGGCTCAATGCCCACCACCTGGCTGGACATGGCGCTGGTCACCTGCAGGAACAGACCCGTCAGGTCACATGGAGGTACTCCGATGGGGGATGGGAGACACACTGCCACATGGGTTGCCCAACCCTGGGCCTGGGGCCAGGTTTCTAGGTTCAGCCAGGGGGAGGGAGGGGGGACAGAGTCCAAGGAAGGGCTGCCTAGGAAGAGGTCCCCCCCAGCTGTTGCCATGGGAACAGAGTCTCCAGAGCCTCCAGGGCCAGTAACTGACAGCAGGTCTACACTTGGAATCGAGGGGAAGTTTAGAAAGCCCCTGTTCCCATCAGGCCAGGGAGCAGGGTAACCTTAGCCTCCAGGCAACTCTTAACCCCACCTGGAATCCCCAGCCAGAAACAGGACACCTCCCAATTTTCTCCAGATGCCGAGGTCCCCTGGGTGATATCCCCCTCATCTGAGTATTCTCCATTCAAGAGAGAACATTGAGGCATATGGATCCACGAGCGGTTGATACATTCACACATGTGTGCTCACACCCTCACACTCGCATGGATTCCTAGGTGTCTCCACATCCCCACACAGGCTCACTTTGCTGGGAACTTTCACACTCACATTTGGCTTTACCCAATCCCAGTCCTCATACTCACTTATCCTCACAAGCCCCTCCCAAAGCACATACCCCAGGATCACACTCACACTCACCAAGGCCCCACATTCTTTTTCTCTCACACACACACACTCAGACTCTTGTGAAAACACATCCAAAGCCTTTCACACCTGACACACCACCCCTCCTGCTCCAGCATGCCCCATCCCTGCCACACCAGTGGGCGCGGCTCCACCTCCTTGCACCCCTGACCGGCACATTCACTCTCACACTTGAGCTGCCGCAGAATCCTCCACTTCTGGGGCGCCCCGCCCCCCCCAACCTGCGCACACCTATGGGAAGTTACCTAAAGTTGTTACGTCTCCCCTCCCCCTCCACCCGCGGGAGACCTCTATCAGGTTATCAGGAAGTAAATGGGAGAGCCAAGGAGAAGGAAGTTCTCCCCAGTCGGTGCGATGACCTTTGACCCAGAGAGGAGGGTGGCCCAAGGCCCTTTCGGGCGCCCCCACGTGGTCTTCAAAGCCCCTTCTCCCACTGAAAACCCTCCCCATCTTTCACCCCGACCCGCCCCTGGGACTTCCGCACGCTCCAAGTGCCGAACTGAACTCTGCCCCTGGGCTTGATCCGAGGCCCAAGCCTGACCCAGGCCAGGACCCGCAGCCTAAGCTGGAGCCAGATCCTGACCCAGAACGGCCCACCAGGACCTGGACGCTGGATCCCGCCCAGACCCTGACCCCGGCTGGCTCTCGACCAGGTCTGGACAGTGACCCGGGCCGGCCCCCAAACTGGACCCCGCCTGGAGCCC